TCACTGGCCCTCATATGTGGGATCTGAACCAGGACCCTCTGGCGTCCCAAGCCAGTTCTTAACCAATGCGCCACTTGGCCGGCCCTGGATATCGAATCCTTGGTTGACAATTTACTTTTAAGATGTCGCAGCAGTCTTCTGCTTGCATTGTTTCTGAAGAAAAGTCTACTCTCACTTTTATCTTTGCTCTTTTTTTTTTTAAAGATTTTTATTGGGGAGTTGGGGGGATGGGAACAGCACTGGGGAATTGGGGGAAGAGGAACAGACAAGTTGCTGTCCTTCTGCTCCTCAGTCTAGTCGTGGAGGACGCCGCCTCACTGGCCCAAGTTGGCACCATCATTGCGCTCTTCCCGGGTAAGACAGATCAGTCGTCGGCTTCTAGACGGCAGCTCATGGAGGCTGCTGGCCGCTCACGCTGGCTGCTGGCTACACACGGTAGCCCATGGCAACCCACTGCAGCAGGGGCTGCAGCCTACGGCGTCACCGGCGACCCACGGCAGCCCAGCTCCAGGTTGTGCCTCTGTTCAGCATCTTAGCTGCAGAGGGCAGCGTCACTGGCCCTCATATGTGGGATCCGAACCGGGGCCCTCTGGAGTTTCAAGCCAGCTCTTAACCATTGCGCCACTCGGCCGGCCCTATCTTTGCTCTTTGGACATAATTTGTTTTTTTTCTCTGGCTTTTAAGAGTTTCTCTGTATTACTCTAGTGACCTAACCAACTAGAACTCATAAAGACAGCTTAGTGCAAATTTAATATCCATGATCTGTATCATTCATCTGTTCTGGGCCTTTCAGCCTCACACCATCTCATTGGTGGCTGGTGACTTTCTGATGTGACTTGTTCAGTGAACTGCATGCTCACCTCGAGGACAGCTCCCCTCCCCATTTCCACCTTTGCAGATCCAATACTCACTTTCCTTCTGCACCTCTCTGCCATGCTGACAGGTTAGTGTCCTGGAAGTTAGTGCACCATCTTCAAAACCCCACCTCACCCTGGCAAGCCCAGTTCTGGGCCAGCTGTAGAACAAGTTGGAAGATGACCAAACAGGATCCAGGAGCACTTCAAGGAAGAGATTTATGGCTTCTCATCTTTTATCATTGAGGGTCCTGATTATCCACAAAGGAGGAACTCAGTGGATGGATGCAGAGGCAAAGGATTTATCTGGGGGCCTACTAGTAAAGTCAGCTCCAGAAGTCTGCTTAATTGAGTATTTACTTGGGGTGGCATATGCATATGCATTTATGTTGGGATAAAAATTGTTAATGGGGATTATAGGGCACTAACCACCTTCCTACCCACTGGCCCTATTTGCCCTTGGTACCACATGGGTCTATCCTAACCTTCAGATTAGCTAGTCCAGGGACAAAGGATATCATGCCTTTGGTTTGTGATGAGGTCTTACCTAGTTCTGCTGCTTAAGTCTACTCCTAAAGCCAGTATCCATGGCTTCTTTGAGCCTAAGGCAAGAGCCAAATGCTGGTTTGTATGCAGGAGCCCTATTGGTTACTCTTCTCATTAACTAGGCCTCCTAGAATGATGAATAAGGATTCATGTAGCAATGGTCTGTGGGGCTGACAGAGCAGTGCAATTACTTAAGGCTGACCGTTTGTCAGATTTTGCTTTCTGCTCTGCTGCACTAAACATGATAGTGGAACTGGCTACAGAGTTTGTGGGCACCCAGTGTAAATGGAATCTCATGGGCCCTTGTTCCAATATTATTAAGAACCTCAAGATGATGATAGCAGAGCACTAAACCAAGTGAGGAGCCCTTCTGAGCATGGGACCTGTGCAACAGCTGGCTCTCTGTCACAGGGTACGTAAATATCACTGATAATGTGCACCAGTGCCGGCAATTCCATTCCCATGTTTTTTAGTTCTGGCACTAAATACCTAGATTGTCTTGTTTTTTTTTTTGAAAGTGTAAGAATTGAGAACTATTGGAGATTAAAATGTTTTCTTGGTATATTTGAATCATATTTCATGGTTATTTTTAAACAGACTGCCTGAGTTCACATCCCTGCTCCATGATTTACTGGCAGTGTAATCTTAGGCAAGTTAAGTAACTTCTGTATATCTCAGTTTCCTCATTTGTAAAAATGAAAATAATAGTGTCAAACTCAAGAGATTGTTTTAGGGTTAAATGAGACCATGTATATAAGGTGCTAAATATAGTGCCTAGGGCTTCAGCTAGTACCTTTGCACAATTTAGAAAAAGAGCCCCCTCTGCACAGATGAATGAAAAGAAACACCACCTCCCTCCAATGAGTCACAGGAAGTTACCCCTTCCAGGTCTATGTTTCAGGGCCCAGGACTTAGCAAGCAGAACTTGGCTGGATTTCAGCCCCATTCTCACCCTCAGAAGGCCCCTTGGTGCCGGGCACAAGTGCTTAAGCAAGTGGGTGGCTATGATCACATCTGATGCATAGTGAATGCTCTATAAAACCATAGCTCATGAGAGGTGGTTTAGTGTAATGGTTAAATCCATGGTCTCTGAAATCAGACCTAGATGCAGAATTGTGGAGTTATGAAGTGTGTCTTCAATACTCTCCACCTTCCTTTTTATGCAGTACTGCTTCCTTTTTGTGCAGCACTGCTTCCTCCTTGAAGCAAGCCTGTTCTCACCTATCTTGTTTGAGGAATTGGACATAATCATGCAGTTCAGAAAGCCAAAGCTAGTCAAGCCCTGAT